CACTCAGGTATGGCTTGTTTGGCATCCACACCCAATCCCTGAATTATTGACTCTGGAGCCTCCGATCACATAACTGGAACTCCAGGTGTGTTTTCTTCCCTCTCTCATTGCTCAACATCACAATTTGTTACCCTTGCTAATGGTTCCACATCGTCTATTTGTGGTGTTGGTAATGTTGACCTGGACCCTGTATCCCTGTCCTCAGTTTTGTATGTTCCTAAACTTCCGTTTAATCTTATGTCTGTTAGTAAGTTGACCAAGTTACTTAATTGCTCAATTACATTTTACCTTTCTATGTGTATTTTTCAGGATCTCAAGATGGGGATGAAGATTGGTGGAGGGCATGAAGCCGGTAGACTGTATTATCTTGACGGTGGTGGAAGAACATCAACAGCTCTTCAGTCATCTATCTCTCCTCTCTAGTGGCATTGTCGATTTGGTCATCCTTCGCTGAAAGTTTTGAAATCTTTGGTTCCTTCATTGAGTCAACTTTCTGTTTTAGATTGTGAATCGTGTCAGTTTGGGAAACACCATCATGTTCCCTTTAGTTCTAGGGTTGATAACCGTGTGTCGAGTCCTTTTTCTTTRATTCRYTCADATGTTTGGGGTCCTTATAAAGTGATGTCATACAATGGATATAGATATTTTGTTATTTTTGTTGATGACTTTTCAAGGATGACGTGACTCTATTTAATAAAAGAAAGAAGTGAATTGTTTACCATCTTCTAGAAATTTTATGCTAGGATTCGCAATCAATTTGGTGTTCACATTAAAATCTTTCGTTCTAATAATGGCCGTGAATATTTGTCTTCATCATTTCAAAAATACTTGAACCAACATGGCATTATACATCAGACCTCATGTACTACACCCCACAACAAAATGGGGTGGCTGAAAGAAAGAATCGACATCTCTTAGAAACAGCACGCTCTCTCATGCATCACATGAATGTTCCCAAACCCTTTTAGAGTGATGTGATGCTTACCTCTTGCTTCTTAATTAATCGGATGCCCACGTCTATCCTTGACGGTCTTTCCCTATTTAATGTCTTGTTTTCCACCGTGTCTCCGTTTCCTCTTTCTCCTCGGGTATTTGGGTGTGTCTGCTTCGTCCATAACATGGGCCCCAGGAACGACAAGTTAGATGCACAATCCCTTAAGTGCATCTTCTTTGGCTATTCCCGGACCCAGAAAGGGTATAAGTGTTACCATCCTAGTTCTCGTCGTTCCTTGGTGTGTGTTGATGTCACCTTCTTTGAGTCTACTCCGTTCTTTTTGGGGTCCGGTGATGCTTCTTCCTCCTCATCGCCTCCTCCTCTTCCACTTCCAGTTGTCGATCATCTTCCCCTTGTCCCAGCCGTACCTACGTCCTTGCCTCCAGTGCCATCACCCGTTGAACGTCCACCTATCCGTCAAGTGTATACACATCGCCCACGTGTACCGGCTGCTCTTCCTCCGGCTTCATCACGTCAACGGATCCAGCTCCAGATCCGCCACCGGTTTCTGATCTTGATCTTCTCATTGCCTTGCGGAAAGGTAAACACACTTGCACCCTTCATCCTATTTCTAATCATGTTTCACTTACTCACCCTTTTGCCTCCCATCGCCAGTTTATCTCTTTGTTATCCTTAGTGGTTGTCTCTAAGGATGTTTATGAAGCCCTTGCCTCTCCAGGGTGGTGTCGTGCTATGGATGAAGAGCTCTCCACTCTACATCATAATCATACTTGGGACCTCACCGCTCTTCCTCCTGGGAAGTAGGCTGTCGGTTGTAAGTGGGTTTATACCATTTAAGTATTTGCCTGATGGTAGTATTGAGCGCTTAAAAGCGCGATTGGTTGCCAAATGGTACTCCCAAGCCTATGGTATTGACTACACAGAGACCTTTTCCCCGGTTGCTAAGATAGGGTCGGTTCGCATTGTCATCTCTCTTGCAGCTATGTATGATTGGCCCCTATATCAGCTTGATATCAAAATTGCCTTTTTGCATGGTGATTTGCTCGAGGAGGTCTACATGGAGCAACCACCAGGGTTTGTTGCTCAGGGGGAGGATGGTAAGGTATGCAGACTCAAGAAGGCTAGATATGGGCTTAAACAGTCTTTTCGAGCATGGTTTGGTAGGTTCAGTGAGGTGGTCAAGAAGTTTGGTATGAAACAGTGCCAAGTTTATCATTCCGTCTTCAATCATGACTCTCCGGCAAGAAAAACACTATTGATGGTGTATGTAGATGATATCGTTATTATCGGGAATGATAAAATGGGCATTGACAAGTTGAAGACTTTTCTACAGGAACACTTTCAAACAAAGGACATTGGTAAATTGAAATATTTCTTGGGCATAGAGGTAGCAAGATCTAAGCATGGTATTAATTTGTGTCAGAGGAAATATGTGCTTGATTTGCTGGAAGACACCTATGAAAACCAATTGAGACACCTATGGAAACAAATATTAGGCTGAGCAGTAATATGGGTGAAGTGTTTGAAGACCCTAGCAGATACCGACGACTTGTAGGTAAACGGAACTACCTAACCATTACTCGGCCAGACATTTCATTTGCGGTTAGTGTGGTGAGTCAGTTCATGCAGAAACCTCTGGTTCCTCATTGAAATGCGGTTCTAAGAATTGTGTCGTATTTGAAAGGAGCTCCTGGTCGTGGTTTGATATACAAAAGTGGTGGAAAACTGGAAATAGAATGGTACACTGATGTTGATTGGGCCGATTCTATGTCTAATAGGCGGTCTACCACAGAATATTGCACTTTTCTGGGGGGGGTAATCTAATGACTTGGAAAAGTAAGAAACAAACAGTCGTGACAAGAAACAGTGCAGAGGCAGAATATAGGGCTATGGGGAAGAGTGGACTACATATGTAACAAGCTGGGATTATGTGATATATACTCACCAGCTTGAGGGGGAATGTTAGCGTAGGGGTATTTCTATCTTTATACTTGTTGAGGTTGTTGATCTATATTATTATGTTAGAACTAGTGTCTCTTACTTAAATAAGGGCACTTGTGTCTTTTCCATTATATTAATAATATAAAAACATGTCTGGCCGAATGGTAGGGTTTGATTTTCCCTAATTCGAACCAGACTTTTCTCCTCCTTTTCTCTCTCTCTTTCTTTCCTCTTTCTTTCTCATTCTTCTTCACTGCTAATAGACAAACAGAATTCAAAGGCATGTCAAATTATAACAGTATCGTAGCCTTTCGGATTGGCAAGTGGTTCAAGGGATAGACCGGCCTTAAACCAGTCCCTCTGAATTAGATTCGAAAAAAAAAAAAAAAAAAAATTAGAATACCGACACAGGCCAATATGCCCTACCAACATATCACCCTGTAGGCTTGTATCGATTTGAACCTTAATCCACACTAAATATTTCTGTAAAATGGGTAAATTTGATTTTATTTCTAAAATATGGTTAGTTTATTAGGGAATTAATGAAACATTTATCAGCTCAAACTGAATCAAATAGACCAACCTCATTTTGGGCCAGATTGAGCTAGTTTTTTTATACAATTGATAGGATCATGGTTGAAAGAAAAAAAGGTACATATATTATTGTTACAATCTTATGCTCAACCATCATAAATAGAGACGTCAGCGGGTCGGGTTAAGGGGTAACTCCACACTTGCCAAACACTACTGAGTCAGGTTAAGTGGTAATTCCACACTTGCCAAACACTACTGAGTCAGGGTCGGTCAACTTTAATTGAGTTTCGGGTCATGTTCAAATTGGGTTAACCGTGAAACCAAACTGCTGACATTATAGCATTGAAATGCTTGTATATTTTGGCTTACATCCCCATGTGTATATGTGTAGTATATATGAGACGGTTCAGGTTAGGTTCAATTTCCCTCTCCTCCATCTAGCCGGATTGGGTTGGGTTGAGCCAAGCTCATACCAAACCTGAAACCACCCCATYGACAACCCTGATCATAAACAATACTCTTTCTTCTTTATATTATTACCTTTTCTCAAAAAAAAAAGTTATAAATCATACATAACGACCAAAATTTCGATACAATATGCCCGATACGGAAAATATCGTATCATATCTTTTGGGTTCCAAAACACCTGTTCACAGGTGTCCCGGGAACCCTTTTTTAATATATATATATATATATATAACGCATGGATTTTAGTACTGATATACCTTCATCATACATATCTAGTTATTTCAAATTTCAATTACTCGTAGTTTTCTTTTTTACAAGCCAATTACTCAGTAGATGTTGTTGAAAATCATATAAACATAACAACAGGCCAACAGCAATTAAAACATGATCACAAAGTCATTACCTTTGTAATGGCCACTAATAGGGTGATCATTGCTAGCCCGATCCATCCCAGCCCACAAATTTCCAGGCCAGGGCTTAGAGTTTTGTGTGCAGGCCCAGGCCCAGCACAGCCCGCAATGCTTTCTAAGGTTTGAAATATATTATATAATGTGAGGGTGGGCATAGTCAGGCCCGAAAGCAAGCCAGAGCCAGGATTTATGGCTCTAAAAAGTGCTAAGCTTGCACAGTCCCATGATCACCCCTTTTAAACCATTTTATCAACTTTTTTATTACTAATAGATATCATATTAACTAGAAAATCCAAAAATTGCCAATCATTTAAATTACTATTTTTTTATTTAAGACATTTTAATTTTCTACCACTTTTCTAGTGCTTCTTTAACATGTCCCTATAATCTACACTCCACAAGCTATTAAGCTTCAAACTCACCAACAGTATGTAACAAAACAAATTTCAGTTGTCTCATCACTCGTGAGGCAACTAGACCTGTTCATGGGCCGGTAGCCGAACAGGCTGGCCCAGCTCGGGTTGTTCTCTATTAGGCTTGGACATAGTTTTAGGCCCGCACGCTCGGTCTCGGGCTCTAAGCACCAGGCATAGCTATTTTTTTGGGCAGGGCCCAGGAATTCTCAAATAAGGCCGGCCCAAGTTGGGCAAACTGAAGAGAGCTCTAGAAATTTAAAAAACAGTGGCATCCATATCCATTTAACTTGAAAAAGAAAAGTCGACTGACACAACAAATCACTTCAGAGTTGGTATCATTTTCCACTAAAATGTGGAAAGCAACATTTGTTAGCTAGGGAAAGGAAATGAGTCACAAGAAAAATATTCAATTTACTTGTGTCTTCATCAGCAAAGTGATATCACATCCTTCTGGAAGAATGCTCCCTAAACAAATGCCAAACTTAAGAAATAGTATTACTGTGGAAGGAAAAAACATGACAGAACTGTAAAACATGATAAAACAAGGTTCGAAAATATCAAGACTCACCGAATGGCTTTATGCTGTTTTTCTTTATATGATTTACTCATTCAACACCAGTTTCATGTGATCATCAAACCTCTGTGAAGCACAAAGAAAATATCATGAAAACAACTTATTGAGATACAAGTACATGTTTTAAAAGACAAAACTTAAGGCTGCAAACATATCTAATCGAATTTGGATAGGGATATACCCGAATTTGATTTGGAAAAAACTCCAAACAGCTTTGAATTTGATAAGAATCCAACAGATCGTTCAGTAAGCAGAATTTCACAAAAACAAATGACATGGGCATACATGATTTGAAGCAATAATCATGTATGCTACAAGTCTGTAAATACACAAATAAGGCATCCCAAGAATTATGAACAAATAATCATGTATGCTATCCTTTGCAGAAATTTCTCAAAGTAAACAGCATAAGAATTAAAAACAAATCATCAAGCATGCCATAGTGGAATTTTCTCAAAGTTTATAAATGCACGACCTAAGAACTAAGAGCAAATCATCAACACGCCATCCTTAGATATCACAAAACACTCGAAACCATTCACCACCATTCTATTATCATCAATCCATGTCCCAAACTCTTCATTACAATCATCATATATATAAAAATAATAAAAGAGCTGATTATTTATATATACCCTGAGGTTTGAGGAAACAACTTATATATACCCTGTAGTTTCAAAAACTACTTAGATCTACCTTGTTGAACTTTCAAACATTAAGCGTAAGAGGACTTCGTGTCCACTCTTCAGCTCTTCTCTCCTCCCCTCTCTTTTCCCTTGTCACTTTTGTCCTTCTTCCTCTTTTCCCTCCTCTCTTTTTCCTCCCTTCCTGCTTTGCCACTGCTAAGGTTGCCAAACATCACTGAACACTGAACAGAATTTCGTTTTGGTGTCAATGTTGAGTTCCCTTCATTATAAAACCACTTATAATTTCCTCTCTTATGTTAGTGTGCTTCTTGTAAAAATTAATCAAAAATGATTGATCCACTTTCTTTTTCTTCTTTTTTTCGCTCCACAGAATAGAGAGAGGAAGAGGAGGAGGAGGATTTGCAGTGGGATGGGAGAGGCATGGGTCGTTTCCATTAAGAAGATGACACTACTAACAGTGTTCTCAATGGGGTAAAATTGGGATTAAGAAAAATCTAACCTTTGCTATTAACAGCCCTAAATGGTTCATTAATGAAGGGCCTGCTTATGTTATGTGGGGCTAGATTAGAAGTCATATATAAGTAGCTTCAGAGTATATTTAAGTAGTTATCTAAAACCACAGGGTATATGTAAGTAGTTAATCTATAATAAAATCAGCACAACAAAGAATCTTTTTGCAAAAGTCATAAAAATAAAAGATTCCCATGATATTCCATATAGACATATAGTATACCATTCACCAATCACCACCAACATTATCCATCCAAGTCATCATCACAAAACCCACAGTCATCATATCTATAAGAACCATAAAATGGCTACCACCAAAGTATGGTCTCATAAGTCATAAAAAGAAATGGAAAACCATTTTCATTTTCCATGATATCCCATCCAACAAACTGTCAAAGCCACAAAGCTTAAAGCTATGACAAGAAAAGATGGTTCATCCAATGACCAATGTTCCACTATTGGAACAGGCAAATGAACTCCCACAACAAATAATCTTTAACTGAGATCTTAAAATAAATTTTAATGAAACATAGTTACAAATAAGCTGATCAAGTAAAATGAAACTATTACCAAACCAGTTGAATTCATTTTCAGACTCATCATAATTTGTACCTTCTTCGTCCACTTCTACATCAGTTTCTAAAGCATGCAAAAACAATATATCACTAACAAAGTACATATCAAAAAGTATAAAAATAATAAAATATTTTAAATTCATTTACCTGTTTTGATTGGAGGTTCTAACCAACTTTGTCCACACATCAAAACCTCTACAACCTCTGGACGTAGACGTTTATGATACTTGCAAATAGCCCTACCAGAAGTACTGAAGGCTGCCTCTGATGCCACAATAGTTGTTGGAATGGATAAAACATCATGAGCCAATAGCTGCAAGTCTAGGCCATTTAAGATGATTTATCCTCCAATATCCCAATACGTCAAAGTCCTTAGATCGAGGAAATAAATCTTCCTCCAAATACATGTCCAGTTCTGATTTTCAAGGGACTATAGAGGAAACAATGCCTTGATCAATGCACCACTTCTCAAAATCAGCCAAGTCTTCACCACCACCATTAGAATTTATAGCATCAACCCCATACTTTGATAGTGAATTACTACTATGACCAGTTTTCTCGAAGTTAGTATATAATGGCAATGGATCTCTTGACCTTCCTACATAATCCATGAAGAGATCATAAATAGCCATCCGAATTTTTAAAACATACTCATTAGATTCAACACCATAAATCATATTATAATAAAACTCAACTATCTTCATCTTGAATCTAGGATCAAGAATAACTGCAACTGCCAAAATCAAAATACAATCTTCTCAATATTTATTAAATTTTTCTTTCATTTTGTATGCAATTGAACGCAAAAAATGATGCTCTACTTTCCCAATTGCACAACGCAAGTTTAATCCCACAAGCATTGTGGAATAATATGTTAGCAGTTGGATACTTTCTCCCAGAACATTCATTAATGGTGGTGTAGAAAATCTCCAAACAATCACGAATAATTGAACCTTTGTTCCACTCCTCCTTAGATGGGCACATTTTATATTCCTGATCTAGGACAGCCAAACGACAGAATGCTTCTTTCATATCTAATGCACAATCCAACATTTCATATGTGGAATTCCATCTATGTATCAACAATGACTTCCCTTTTGGAAAATACCTTCACCTGATTTCTAGCCTTTTCAAACTTTTCCTCCCTAAGCGGTGAGGATCTTACATACTTAACACTTTCACGTATCTTATGTAATAATTCTGTAACCTCTCCCAAGCCATCCTGCACAATAGAATTGAGAACATCTGCACTACAACGAACATGAAAAAAATCACCACGTAGAGGAAGCATTGATCGATCACAAAGAAGCTTCTTAATTTCTCTAACATAACACCATTGTTAAAAGAATTATCTACAGTAATGGAGAACAACCTCCTACCGATGTTCCACTCAAACGCAACATCCATGACAGTCGAATATAGTTTTTCCCCATCATGAGGAGACTTGACAGCTGTAAAAGCAAGCACTTTATGCTTTAACACCCAATCATCAGTAATATAATGCGCAGTCACTGCACAATAGGACAATCTTTGCGTTGACGTCCACATGTCTATTGTGAGACTAAACCTACGGTTGAGATCATCAAGGTATTTGTACAACTTCTCCTTTTCTTCCTTATACACCTTAATGCAATCATTTTTTAGTATAGTCTGTGGAACCACTTTGAAAGATGGGTTGAGATTTGTGGAGAATATCTTAAAGAATCGATTCTCAACAATATTAAATGGACAACCAATAAGAGATTATAAAGCGAATAAGATCCAATCTACTTCTTTCTGCATCAAACTTGAAGTCACCAGTCAAATCACAGTCATCCCATATTGTAGCTGTTTGTTTCTTCTTCTTAAAAATTTTTGAAGATAAGGCTTCAGAAGTATTAGTCTCCTCACTAGCCATAGTAGCATCACTCATCTTCAATTTCAAGTAATCTATACAATGAAATAATGTGAGTAATAAAGACAAAAGCCATTAACAATGCCGTACATTGATACAAACAAAAAATCAACCTTTAGAATGAGTGAAATAAATAAGATAAGCATGTTATGAATTTATGACAAACCAATAAGGGCTGTTGATGAATAAGAAGCATAATTTATCATTTATATGAAATCAGATCTGAAATGAAGAAGAGGAGAAGAAAAAAAGAGAGAAAAGAGAACAAAATAGACAAATTTGGGCAAGATAGAGCTTCACATTGCATCTTAAAAAAAAACGAGAAAAGATGATAACTTCCAATAGAGCAGTACATCCCCCAAATATTCTTTTTTTTTTCTCACATATGCAATAATAACCATTAGAATGTGGGCTATTTATATTTATTTTTGATGCTGATGTTATGGGCAGAATAGTCTTATTATATTTTATTGTAAAAATTGCCATATAATGAATACAATGGGACACACCAAGGCCTTAAAAGGCAAAAGTTGACGGTGAGATGATTAGAGCCTGAAGAGGTTAGGCATATATGCCTCGAGGCATTTCAAGGTGTAACCCTAAAAAAATTCAATAATATGGATGAATCTGTAGATAATGATATGAAAAATAAAATGTAGCTAAATATCTATATAAACTTATGTAGCTCATTTGGTAGATTAAGGTTCTGAAGACTAACAACCATACGTATAAGTGCCACCAAATTTTTTTTTGAAAATAAAAAATATCATAAGAAAAATAGTTGTCACAAACAAACATCCATCAAACAATAAATGCACCTTGGTCAGCATAATAAAATTCAGTACATCCATTGCTGTATGTACAACCATCAAACAAGATGCCAAAAGAGAGAAAAGAGAAAACAAAATAGACAAATTTGGGCAATATAGAGATTCACATTGCATCTTAAAAAAACGAGAAAAAATGATAACTTCCAATAGAGCAGTACATCCCCCAAATATTCTTTTTTTTTTCTCACATATGCAATAATAACCATTAGAATGTGGGCTGTTTATATTTATTTTTGTTGCTGATGTTATGGGAAGAATAGTCATATTATATTTTATTGTAAAAATTGCCATATAATGAATACAATGAGACACACCAAGGCCTTAAAAGGCAAAAAATGAAGGTGAGATGATTAGAGCCTGAAGAGGCTAGGCATATATGCCTTGAGACATTTCAAGGTGTAACCCTAAAAAAATTCAATAATATGGATAAATCTGTAGATAATGATATGAAAAATAAAATGTAGCTAAATATCTATAAAAACTTATGTAGCTCATTTGGTAGATTAAGGTTCTGAAGACTAACAACCATACGTATAAGTGCCACCAATTTTTTTTGAAAATAAAAAATATCATAAGAAAAATAGTTGTCACAAACAAACATCCATCAAACAATAAATGCACCTTGGTGAGAATAATAAAAGTCAGTACATCCATTGCTGTATGTACAACCACCAAACAAGATACCAAATTTTATTATGAATGTACATTGGTGAATGCACCTTATTTTTCCTATCAACAAAGAATGATCACACCTTACTTTTGTCCTGCATAAAATGTTAAACAAGAAGGTTCAAGGGAAAACACTAATTGTATTTTAGAGAAGACTGAAAAAAATAATGAAAAGGATGGACCCCCTTGTTTTGTTCAGTGTTTTAAAAGGGGTGAGAGGAAGTGCTGGGGGCATACATGAGCCACTTGGCTTGGCTCCCAAACTTACAACTTCTTCCTCTCTTCCTTTCTGCATTGTTACTAGTTAATTCTCTCTTAAATTGATTAGTTTTAGATTGATTACTGCACTCCTATCAGAATTAAAGAAATTGGCATCTGAGTAAACCCTCTTCTCTTCCCTTTGAAAGACACCCATGCATCATGAGGATCAGCAGTGTCCATGGAAAGTTGTTGTAGATGCAGATCATCATAGATTATGATTCCGGAGTTTTAGAAGAAATTGAACCAGTCTGCTGCCTAGAAATAGAGTCCAGAGAATGCTTCCCAAAAATCAAGAAAAATTAGAGAATTATTTGTTTTTTATTGTCTTGAAGACTGAAAGGAAGTTGTGATCAGGTATTAAATGTTCCCTTTTATATTTCTATTGAGATCAAAACACGTTATAGGGGTGTTCTAGGGTGTCCAGTAGGAGTAGACACTATTTCTCCCTTAACATTTTGAAACCAAGGTTAGTAGAACCCTGAGAGAAAGCACTGGTTCTTTATTGTAGGCCAAGAATACCACCTCCAAGGTTTTCAAAATCTTGCTAGAGTTTGCTTAAAGTTGTTTGTTCATAAAGAAGCCTGTTAGAGATGATATGAAGCTGATGTAGACTTGTAGAACCTAATGTTATCCTGAGAGGAACAGGTAATCTCAGGGAAGTGTTATTACAGTTGTTAAATTAGATGGTATGAATTTTTTTTGAAAGGGAAAACCCTATGTGCATCCATATTGGCAGTCATGGAAGGTTGGGAAAATTAATTCTAAGCCACCACACATTAGTCAAAATTATTTATATATGAAGACAGAAAAGGAAGTATGAAATGGAGTTTCTGAGACCTACACCCATCCATTGGATGTTGCTAGGGAATATTAGCTTAGGCTGCAGCCTGTAGGTGAATGCATGGAAGCAAGGGGAGATGTCTCTTGCATTTCATTTCCTGATTTTGCAGTCATTCTAAAAAAGATTGATCATCCAGAGATAATTCAGTAGAGCCATAAGGAGGATGCTGATACCCACAAGCAATTGGTTGAATATTTGAGTTCTCCCCAGTGTTTTAAAAGCGCAAGTCGCAAAAATGGCGTAAGGGCCATTTTGCGCCTGAGGCGCAAGGCGAGGCACGCACCTTTTTGAGACAAGGCACAAAATTAAAAAAAATTAAAAAATGCAAAAAAATCAAAAAATTATAAAGCATAATACTAATAAAAATATAAACTTAAGTTTTAAAAAACCTATTATCTAAAATTAAAATACATAAAGATAATATGTAAAGCATATTCAAATGAGAATTTAAAAGTGAAATCAAACATATAGAACAATTTCAAGCATATAAAACCCACAATCTCTTTTTTTTCTCAATTGCATCAAGTAGCTGATGTGACATATTACATTCCTAATTCTACGAGCCGCCTAGCGGCCAGACTCAAAAAAAAATGGAAAAAGCGGCAAATTTTCAAAAGGTGCACGCCTGGGCTAAGGCGCAAGGCACACCAGGCGTGCGCCAAGGCCCTGGGTGAGGTGCCTACCCTAAAATGCGCCTCGCCTATGTGCCTAGGCGCACCTGAGGCACGCCTTTTAAATCACTGGTTCTCCCTTGGTTTTAACTTGGAGTATGAACACATGGTGACATTTCATTTTCTCAGACTTACTCTCTTATGCATAGCGAAGACAGTAGAAGGAAGGTCATGATAACTACAGGTTTCCCTACACATGCTACTATAACTTAGCAGATGTCAATGTCTACTAGAAAGGATCAGAAAGAACTTACTTGAGGGAACATAGGAGTAGCTACAACAGATAATAAAATGAGGAAAAGTAGACTAGGATGGTTTTCTCATGCATAGAGAAAAAAATGCAGTACATATGGTTTATAGGACCTTTATGCCCCTATTGTGTGCGAGTCACAATGAATGGTTCTCTGTCATCAAGCATAGATTTCAGTACTCTCTTGACACTATACATTAATATTTTCAACAAGTGCTGGAAACGATGGTGTTATTTGCAAAGGAGATTATTGTTCCGACCACATTGGATACTAACCCAGATATTCCAAGCAACTATAAAAGGCTATAACGCATATTTAAGATAAAAACTATCAATAACATGATAAGTACTATCAATAACATTATTTCTGCAAGGGAGCGATTAGTGTCCTTGAAGGTACACTTGTGCATGTCGTTCCTTTGGAAAAACAAAAACCATATAGAGGACAAGGAGAAAAAGAATGCTACCAAAATGTACCAACAATGTGACTAACATGGTGTTCACCTTTGTATTTTCTAAATGTGAAGGGACCACCTTGCAGGGAAGTATACCTGGAAAGAATCAACACCTGTGACTTGCTTCAAAGAAAAAGACCAAAGAGTTGTTTGTCTCCATGTTGGTGCCTTCTTTGTAAGGTTGATAGTGAGAGTTTCTATCATTTATTGGTTTCCTGCTCCTTTGTTAAAGGTTTATGGGAATGGTTTTCTCCTTTGTTTGGTTGCAGGTGGGCCCCACCATCAGATGTGAAAAGCTTGTTTGCTCTGTCCTTCCTCAGATTGCCAAAAAAAAGAGGAAGAATAATGTGGCATTGCATAAGGGCTGCTATTATATGGACCATCTGGGAAGAAAGAAATGTCAGGTGATTTGTTTCAGGGTAATGCATTGGCTCAAATCTTTGGATCTCTTCAACAATGTATATAGATGATTTGTCCAGAAACTGGAGAGAAGTTGCTTTCTCAGCCCCTGTTAAGGAGGTATCAGTCCCAGTTTAGTCCCTTCCTCCAAGTGGCTTTCACAAATTGAACTTTGATGGGAGCAGTTTTGGCAACCCAAGGCCCTCGGGTATTGGAGGTGTGTTAAGGGATGAGAAAGGGATAACAATCGCCCCGTTCTCACTTCTCAGGCCCTATTGAAGCTGGTGATTCTCTTACAGCTGAGATTTTGGCAGCTTTAGAAGGTGTGCAGAGAATTAAGGATCTAAATATAAGGAAGTTGATCATTGAAGGAAACTTCAAGCTGGTGGTGGAATGACTGAAGGGAGACAACAATGGGTTGTGGGTGTACAGTTATGAAAAGAAAAAATTCAAGTGGCTGACGGAAGATATGGAAGTTAAACTTAATTGGGTAAAGAGACGTGCAAACTCCCTTGCTGATGGGTTAGCAAAACAAGGGGTTAACAGGGGTACTTTGTTTTGGGTTCACCTGTAATTTTTCTGTTTTCTTTCTCTTGTTCGGAGGAGATAAGAGAGGTTATCTCCTCCATTTGTATCATTTTCTATATTTAATGAATTAT